GCTAAAGTCTTTTAAAACCCAAATCCACTAACCTACTTAAGTTCTAATTAAACATTAAGCTAATCTCTTAAAACCAATCAACAAATCTTGTAATGCAACTATACCAACTTAGTTTTTAGGATGGACAACTCCGGGCTGCGGGGCTAAGTGTCCTAAGTAGGCCTGGTTTCTCGAGCCTGGTGGCACAACGCCACGAACCAGTTGATAGCAAACTTAACTAATTTAATCCCTTAATTTATAATAAATCATTCAATCCACCTTTTCTTTTAATTTACAACCAACCAATTAATCCAACAAAAATTGGTTGCCACTGGGTAACCCAGGCCTACGAGGCTATTAAGTTAGCCCCAAGGAGGGTGAAATAAACCTCACGGCCTCGGTGTGAAACAAAGGTGGCAATCAATTAAACACTAAAAAAAAATCTAAAATCAATCCTAAAAAATACTAATATTTAAACTCAAACTAAGATCTTCCTTTTGACCTCTAACAAATCAAATGCAAATAACTTGAACTAATAATCCTACATAGGACATACCCTAAATTACACAGCCTACACATACCTTAGACTTGTTTGGTTAGGACACGACTTTTAGCTCTAGATCAGGCTTATATTTTCTCTTGCTATTCAATGCTTGTTATATATACATGTTCTATAAATGCAATTATTAAATTTCTTGTTAGCTATATTTAATTTCCTGTTAGTTATATTTTTGTTATTTACTTGCATTTCTTTTCTGAATGGCATCTACGCTCATATATATCTTTCTCTTTTATCTTATTTTGCGAGGTACACCGGGTCTTATATGGTCAAGAATCAAACGACATCATTTGCTTATAAGCTTTTAAGTGGCAGCACCACATACAGTCAGGTATAATTTCTGCAACTTGTAAAATAAATTTTTTTAATTATATATCGGAACTGCTTCACATCACACACTTCTTGTTAATAAGTATTCTAGCATGTTTAGGTAGCCAGCCTTAGGTTAGTTCACTAACGAAGCTTCTTGCTCCTTCTGTGAGCCCTAGAGACCATTAGGGTCATTTAGGCCTGTAGAGTAGGCCACCTACTTGTGCCATTGGGCATCGTTGTTTTCCCACACGAAGTGGGCATCGCTAGGATTTTGGCCTTTTCTGGTTTTGGGTATGATACCCCCCACCTTCTGTGAGCCTTAGAGACTATTAGAGTCATTTAGGCCTGTAGAGTAGGCCACCTACTTGTGCCATTGGGCATCATTGTTTTCCCACATGAAGTGGGCATGCTAGGATGGTTTGTTGTGCAGATGCCTTGCCTGGAGGGTATCTGATGTGTTTATTTACTTTTTCTGTACTCTGGATGTCATGCATGCATTTGTTTTTACACACTTTACTTCACACTACACTTCACTTACATGCATACATTACATCAGTAGACCTAAAGATATTTCATATCTGTCTCATGCATCATACATGGCGCTAGGTACATTCTTGTGCATATTGTAGAGTCTCTGATTGAAACTTTTTGAACTACACATCCTTGATTTCTTAGGATAGACCCCTCCTATCTTGTATACATATAAGACGATTGATTGTGTTTAGGATGTTAGCTGGCAGCTCACTCCAGGCAAGCATAAGCCCAGATTGTACACCCCTCTGTATCTCCTTTCTTCTGGTGTGTCTTGAGTCAGTCATTTCTCTTATGGTAGTAATTCGATCTTTGGTCTTTTAAACTCAAAATTTTAATCATATATTTATCCATTCAAAAATGTCTAATCATCATTAAAGATAAATAGAAGAGACCCTTTGGAATAGAACTTATGAACTCTTTTTGTGCATCAAACCAAGAAGTAAATAATACATCGTTCTTAATCGAGAGTTTTCCTAAGTCAAGGCTTAGGATGTAATTAACTACGGGGGCTTGCGTCCGTAGGAAACCGATCCCCACAATCAAATAAACCCCATTCGAGCTGATGTATCGAATGGGGGAAATCTCGTGAACTTTTGGGTTATAGATATTATTATCCATCGAGGTTGGTAGGTGAAAGTCGTTATCCTCCATGGCTAATCGTATCTATAACTCCATCTGCTCTTCCATCGGCCTGCTTGTGCGGGGTGTAAAGGACTGCGACCATTTTGTCCTACGGGATAGTGTGATCGTACCCTTTGCATTCGAACCACATGAGCAGAATACTTTCGGAGACCCACAATAATGTTATGTCATAAGAATTCCAAGCTCTTCAATCTCAAGGCACATGGGACCTCGTTCCGCCTTATCCCAATCAAAATATCCTAGGATCTAAATGGACATTTCGTACCAAATATCTCGCCGACGGCATAGTCACACGCTACAAAGCTCGACTCGTCGCTCAAGGATTTAATCAAGAATATGGGTTAGACTACACCGAAACTTTTAGCCCCGTTGCCAAAACCCCAACCATCCGTGTCTTCTTAGTTGTTGCTCTTCACCATCAGTGGCCCATTCATCAGCTCAACGTCTCCAACGCCTTTCTCCACGGCAATCTAAACCACACAGTCTACATGAAACAACCAATTGGATTCAAAGACACTTTACATCCCACTCACGTTTGCCGCCTGAAAAAGGCCATCTACGGGCTCAAACAATCCCCCGTTGAATGGTACTCTACCCTCTCAAGTTATCTACAAACTCTAGGATTTAAGTTCAGCGCCTCGGACCCATCTCTTCTTATCTATAACAAAAGCGGGATCTTCATGTACTTCTTGGTTTACGTCGACGACATCCTTCTAACCGGCAACTGCAACAAATCCATTCAAACCCTCCTTCAAAACCTCAAGACAAAATTCACCATGCACGATCTGGGTTCTCTATCTCAATTCCTTGGCATTCATGTCGTTCCAACTTCCTACGGATTGCATTTGAATCAAAGTCGGTTTGCCACTACCATATTATCTCGGGCGGGTATGCTTAATTGCAAACCCATATCTACTCCCTCCCAGCTAAAACCATCATCCAAACAATCTCAATCAGATGCATTCTCCAACCCAACGTTATATCGCCAACTCACATGTTCGTTACAATATATCACCTTAACTAGACCCGACATAGCGTACGCCGTCAACAAGGTATGTCAACATATACAAAATCCTCTCATTATTCACTTTGATGCTCTTAAACGACTTCTACGTTATATTCAAGGCACCTTACATGTTGGTATTTCTCTTTTTTTGCAACAAAAACCTCAATCCACATGCGTACGTGGACTCCGACTGGGCTAGAGACACTTCCAATCGTAAATCTACTACTGGCTTCTGTACATTCCTCGGCTCGTCCCTCCTCTCATGGACTGTCAAGAAACAAAACGCGGTCGCTCGTTCCTCAACTGAAGCCGAATATCGGGCTCTTGCCTCCACAGCAGCTGAAGTTATCTAGCTGAGACGTCTCCTCCAAGAATTCAACATTCCTCAACCAACAGCAACACCACTCCTATGCGACAAACCCTCTGCGACCGCTCTCGCCAACAATCCGGTCTTCCATGCCCGACAAAACACATCGAGGTGGATTGCCACTATATCAGAAACTATATCAAAGACAAGCTTATTCAGATCCATCACATATCCACCAAAGACCAGCTCGCGGATCTTCTAACAAAGCCTCTGGCCAGTCCGAGATTCCAGCTTCTCTAGAACAAACTTGTAACCTCCTCCGACGCGCCAGTTTGAGGGGGCGTATTACACATATATTACTATATCTATTACCAATTCTTGTATCTTGGACAGGTGTCATTATACTAGTAGTGTTACCTTTATCTTTCGGGCTATATATACAAGCCATTGTGTAATACTGTTAACTTGGAATGAATCATACTTCTTTACATTCTCTTTATCTGTTCTTTTCTCTTGCTGCTCTGTCCGCTATCTCCTTCAGGCTCAACGTTTCATTTAGCACAAACATTGAAATTTAACATTGTATCACTAAATATAAATATGCACCTACCATTACATGTTTGTACCCCTAAGATGAATGCCTCCTACCTCTGAATTTTTAATCCAATTATCCAACTTTTTTGGCCTTGATATTCCTTATATGTTGTATGATTGTCCGTGAACTCCTAGTGACAACTTTTTCAACATTATTGATGTGATCTTAAGAATCACCATCACCATGACCTTCCACAAGAATTAACAACAAACATGATACATTCAATGTTTCCAAAATCTAATGCCCATATCATAATCATGGTTGATCTGATTGATCACCATACTAGATCAGATCCCCAGATCATACATCCACAACAACATAGAGTGATGGTCATCCCACTACTCAAAAAAAGATGTAGTATAAGATTACGCTCAATAATAGTTCCCTCTTTCTCTAACTAATTTTCACTCTAAATAATCAACTCCATTCCCGACTCTAGTCACATGAAAATACTAATTGACATGAAGGTGGCCTGGCAAATCAATGTTTCGCATCATCAATATTAATAATGCAATTCCATAAATACCCCCAACATCTTGACTATTTACAAAAGCAATGTTCCCCTACTTCTATTCATCAAATTCTCATAAAAATATCAAGATTCACAACAAACACAACCCTTATTTTTTACTTTTGTCAAATTACTAATGGTTTGATAGTGACATCTTATATTTACTTACAAGTTCATTTTGTTTAAGACTGGTAGTTTTGTAAATAGAATAGATTAGTGGTGTGTGCATAAATCTCCCATGACTAGAATAAGAAGACTGCTTTCACAAAACTGTGAAGTAAAATATACGTGAGAAAAATGCTTAACGAGACCCATAAATTCGAATATCAATTGATGATGTCAAAAGCTGGCAATAAATGTATATGTAAGCTGGCACTCATACTACAATACAGCTTTTAATAAGAATGTGTAGAATGCTTCCATTTTCTACTGTTGAAAAATAATAAAAAAAAAACATGATTTCTCTGTCGTTTCAAGTTCATTCATCATGCTCCATCCAAACAGCTATGCATCTTCATGAACAAATAGTGGATATGTCAAAAATAATCAGATTACCTCCTTGATCTTCCCGCAAAGCAGTGCACCAATGCTCCACCACCAGCATGTCTTGCTTGATCAATGAAATCAAAACACTCATGGAAATATTTTGATATGTTTGTAACAGGAGTGTCAAGAACTATGTAAATCCAAAAAAAATTTCAATGAGTCCGTGAACAATGTATAAACAAGAAAATCATTACAAAAAGTTGGGAAAATACTTATGCACTAAAGATACTCTTAAAAGGTGTGAATGGTAAAATTAGATAAAAATTAAAATATGGGGGAAAAAAGGATAAGATGTAGTGAATGTTCACTAAGTTTATACATAACAGATTTTAATCAACATTAAATCTTAGAAACGCCAGAATTCAAGATCTAAGCAGAGCGGTGCAAACTAAAAATTAGATAAAAAAATATAATAATCTTTGAAAACAACAATTTGTGGATGGTGCAGCAAAAGCTACAGAAACTTGAGATTTGGTGCAAACCCCACGGTTGAAGTGATTCACACTAGCCAAAGAACACGTCACCAGCATTCTAAGCTCTCTTCACATCCAGTAATGCATAAACCTTCACCAAAGAATTTAAAAAAAAAAAAATCATATTTCGTGTTTGAGCAATTTTCTTCAAATTCCTTGTAGGTCTATGATTTTAATCAATTTTGTTATCTTTTGACCATGCTTTATATTGTTTGATAAATTGAATTTGGTACTAGATATTAGTTTCCATACCTCATGCATGTAATAACACTATTGCAATCGCTCTCTATGTCATTTCATTGAATTTGGTAAGATTCAATTCCATATTCGTTTCACTTTAAATGAAATAAAACATTGTGGTACTCACAAGTTTATGTTTGTTTTCAAACAAAGTATGATTGTTTATGTTTGTTTCAAGAGTTCATTAAAAAGCTCATTCGTTAAAAGTATCATTTATGAGCTTAATAAAGTTCGTTCATTAATAGCTCAATAGGCTCGTTTATTAATTTATAAACAAGCTACTCGTTTAGAGCTCGATAAGGACAAAATGAAATGAATATGAATCAAACACAAACCAAGCTTGAACATAAACAAAAAAGCTCAAATTGAGCTCGAACTGAGCTCGAACAATCTCTTAATAAACAAGCTCAAACATGAATGAATATATACTTGACTCAGCTCAGTTCGTTTCCAACCCATATATATATATATATATATATATATAAAGAGAGAGAGAGAGAGATGACATACATGCTTGAATTTATTTTGTGAAACTTGTTAATGGCTTAAACTTTAATGTTAATTATGTAATTGTTGTTCGCATGACCATGTGTCAAATACAATTGAAGCACTTAATCATGTGTTATGTGTGACATTATAGAGGAGTGTGAAGATGATAACTTCCTTATAATTTGACTTTGTAAGGTTTGAAGCTAATTGCATAAATGCCTTGCTTCCTACCAGTGTATAATCGACCTTATTGTGGCTGATAATATGTGGCTAACAAACTTGTTAATCATCTTAATTGCTTGATCACATAGTTGTTGTCATTTACCATCTAGTGCAATTATTCAGCTCTGAGATGTGTCAGTAAATTGAAGCCAACTTTCAAATGCAAGAAAAAGGCTTTTGTTCAGCAATTAAGCGTCTTCCTGAGGAGGGCTCTTCATACGCACAGTAATCACCAAATCTATTAATTCATAAATCATCACCTACCATTTCAATCATGTTTTTCAAGATACTGCCTCGTTGGTTGACAAGCACATGCAACCATCTTTGATGATGTTTTATCCTTATATACAAGGCAATATACAATTCTACCCCAATTTCAAGATACAACTTTGATTTAATCATTCAATATTCAAAATATGGAATAAAATCTTACCATTTTTTATTATGTCATGGGGTCATCAATGGTATGCCAATCGTTGTTCCCCCAATAATAACAAAATCGTTACTACAGCAAAAAAGGCTTTATGTCACACTATTATAAATGACTTCAAGGCATTCTTGTAACGACGCTCCACATATTAGGAGAGAAACATAGGGAACTTGGTTATCAACAACTATATGCAAGCCAACAATTTACATTTATTTACATGTTGTACGAAGAGAAGGTTTGGATTAAATTGAAGTTGTCCCCTGCATTATTCATTTATTCTCATTATAGTTTCTGTAACCTATTTTTTGGTTGGACTTTGGATATGTGACATATTCACTACTGGAATGTGGTTGGCACAAGCATTATTGATGGAAAACTTCTAAGGTCATTATGTTGACAATGTTAAGTTGACATTGCTATATTGATCTTGCTTAACTAATTATGTGGAACTAAATGGTTAAATGGTTAGACATAATATGCTTAAATATCAGTGAAAAATATAACTATCATATTTTTAGTAATTCTACTTAGAATCAATAGTGAAATTTTAAGGGATATTCTTGCAGCTTTTTTTCATGGAATGAGATATACAGGTTAAAGGATCAAAATTAATGTCACTAATCATAAGTATTAGGAATTTTAATGATTTAGTAGGCTTTAATTAGCAAAATCATTCAAATCCCTTTAATACCCAAATCTTCTAAACAATCCAAGGATTTGGATGCATGGATTTAATAATTAGATAACCAAACAATTCTCAGAATCAACACCATAAATATATACTAAGTCATACTTGAATAATTTTAATTAAATATAAATAGATTGATTCCTACTTGCATCCAAATGGCTCCATTAGGTTAGAGACCGTGATTATATATCAAAATGCAATTCAAAGATAATTGCTTGCACTCGAACACTTAGTTGTATAATTATTTCCATAAATTCTAATGCCTTGAATCAATTTGAGAGACAATCTAGACGCACCATATCAAACACATATGCTTCAAGATCAATGTTTCTACAACTGTATCCTCAAAGTATCAAACCTTGAAAATTTTACATGAAAAACAATGTTTCAGATTGCATATAACCCAACAAGAAACTACGATTTGGTCACAACCAAGTAGAATTCCTTGATTCTCAGGATTATAAAGTTCAAGTACAGCTCAATGCCAATAACAACCAAAAGTTAAGCAGCTTATAATTAAATTTTAACTAATAAATCAACTAAAATAATCAACTAAAATAATCAACTATTTACTCCAAAATAATTCAAAGGAAATCTAGATCTCAAAACATGTATTTTTTTAGAAGATTTGGCTTATATTTAATATGACATAGTGTCAATGACATCCATAGATATATTTCTTGGACAAATGAAGATTTACGGTGTTGTGTTACTTAACTTCAAGAAAAATTTTATTTTGAAAGCATACATTATAAACAAAAAATAACACTACATCCATTAAAAAATCAACCGTTGAAATTTCTCACTTGTGATCTTGGGCAGCCTGGAACCCAAAGTAAAACAGGAAAACCTAAATTAGACCCGCTGAGATACAAGTTGACATAGAAACTCAAAAATAACAGGAGGAAGAACATAAACCTATTGAGGACTATTACCATAACCAGTTTATAAGAACTTGTAGAAGATATCATTGACTTTGTATTGCTTCTTGAATTCAACCAATCTTCAGCTTGTCAAATTCCATAAAACACCTAAAAAAATACACCAATTACGATTCACCTAGTAAATCCAATTCGACCATACCTACGTTCAGACTACATGCATGTACATATAAATCAATCAAGTTCATAAATACGTTATAAAATTACTAAATATCTCTAAAATCTATAGCATGTTTCAAAAAACATATCATAAACTTTAAACCAAGTGCACTTGCATCCTGCCTAATTTCTCAAGAAAATACCAGTCAAGTTAACAAGTATGGCCATGGTTTTCTTGAATGTATTGTAAAGTTATCGCCTATTAAAAGAAAAATTAAACTATAGGAGTCGCCCTCACTAACATCTACTCTAAATTATATAATTTAAAGATAATAAAACTTCATGATTCGCTACTTCAACAAAAACAGAAGAACGTAGATCACCTTCGATCTTCCTATAAACGAAATCATCAGGGAAGGCAGGTTCAAGAGAGTTGGCAACAATCAGCACATGCGTGATGTTTAAACATTTCAAAGCTTGCTTATTGCACGCCACCCTCACAGATCCCAGGAAGAGTCCCTGCAACGAAAAAATGAAATTAATTTGTCCCTTGTTGATGAAAACTCCGGAAAAGAACAGGAGTAAAAACAGATTCAAATCTAGATTACCTCCTCGATTTGGCAGGGAACGTTAACGTTGTTCTTCCGCACATAGTTAGCTGCGCAAAGGTCTTGGAGTAAAGTAGCTATTTTCTGACGCAGTACTTCGTCCGGGGAAGACATCGTGGCTGCGAAGATTGGGGTTAAAATAGGTTCCCTCCTTTTTCTCCTCTTTTCCCCGTGATCAGAATCCAGGGAAAAATTTTTTTTTTTTGGAAACTTGGGAGATTATGCCACCTTTGTTAAGGAATTTTTATTTATTTCTAATGTCCGTGCATTGAATGCACATTAATAATAATTTATAATGATTATTTTAATTATATTTTTAGTGTTTAAATGAAAAAATTATTAAGTATATCATACATAATTATAATTATTAATATTTATTTATAAATGCACAAAATACATATGAATAGATATTAAAAAAAATGAAAATGAAAATTTAATATTATTATTATTTTGTTTAATATTTTTAAATAAATATTTAAAAATATTTAATTCACATTTAGAAGAAAAGCTCTTTCTTATGAGGTTTTTTATTTGGAATTGTTTGATGAACTTTAAAAGTGTATGAAATAAACTATAATAAATTAAATGTCATTATTTTATTTGGATAATTAAAATGAATAATAAAAAAGAATATGAAGGGTAGAATATGAATAGAGAAATACAAATGAATTTTTAAAAAATAGGAAGGAAGACTAAGAGACATTAGTGAATTTAAAAAATTTATTCATTTGTTTGCTTAAATGAAAAGTAATTATATATTCATTATTTTTAAAATTACTAATTAATTATAAAATATAATAAATGTAAGCACAAAATTCAATTTAAATATTTAAAATAAAAGGCTGCCATTTGAGTTATGATCATTAAAAAACATAATGAAGTCGTATGATAGAGGAATATGAATAGGTATTTAATAAAAATAAAGGAATACTAAGTAGCGTTAGTGATTTCAAATGATTTATTCATTTATTTGCTTAAATGAAAAGTAATTATAAATTAATTATTTTTAAATTATTAATTAATTATAAAAAGATAAAAAATCAAATGACACGATTATATT